TGGTTCAGCCTGGGGTAAACAGAACGATACCAGTGGCGGTGGATCTAGCTGGGGCAAGCAAGACGGTGGTGGGGGTGGTTCAAGCTGGGGTAAACAGGATGGTGGTGGTTCAAGCTGGGGTAAACCAGATGGTGGTGGCGGTTCAAGCTGGGGTAAGCAGAACGATGGTGGTGGGGGATCAAGCTGGTCCAAACAGGGTGATGGCGGTTCTAAACCATGGGATGAACAGAGTGGTGGTCGTGGGTTTGGTGGAAGAAGAGGAGGGGGATTCCGAGGAGGTTTCCGCGGAGGTAGAAACCAATCAGGTAGAGATGGAGGAGGACGCTGGTTTGATCGTGATCAGTCATCTGGCTGGAAAAGAGACAACCAAGAAAGCACTTGGAAGAGCGACCAAAGTGGTGGTGGATCGGACTGGAAAAAGGGTTGGGGAGAGGATTTAAACATTAAAAAGCCATCCGATTCATCCTCTGGTGGCGGTGGAAACTGGTCTAGCTGGGATACTAACTCGAAGAAAGAAACTGGTAATGACAAATCGGGAAATGAAAACAAAGGAGCCTGGGGAACCGGTAACGATCAGGAAAATACCGGAAACAATGGTTGGAACAAGAAGCCAAGCGATGATGTGAAAACGAGTGGAGAAGCTGATAATGCTTGGGGAAGCAAAACAAACGCAGGAGCGTCTGCATCAAGTGGCTCGGCTTGGGGAACCAGTAACGATCAGGCAAATGGCGGTAACAACAACGACGGTTGGAACAACAAGCCAAGTGATGATGTCAAAACGAGTGGAGAAGCTGATAACGGTTGGGGAAGCAAATCAAATGCAGGAGCTCCTGCATCAAGTGGCTCGGCGTGGTGAACCGGAGACAGAAAAGACTGGATGGTGAATAAAAACATCCTGGATTGACTTGTAAATAAAATGTCACCATCTCTATCTTAGTCTCGACTCTTAAGTTCAAGTCTAGTGTAACACATGAGGTGTCTAGTCTCTGGGACTTTTTGTTTTTTACCCTCATGCTTGAATCTCTTCGGGTTGTTTATGTGGTGACTTTTAACTTATTTTGTAGCTCTTTTAACCTTCGGCACTATCGCAGTTTATCTTTTTCACCACGTTTCAATCTTTTTATTAAAGCTTTATTTAATAAGATGCTTGTGATTATTGTGACGCAATATAACTCAAAACTATTTTGACAAAAAATCGGATGTTTTATAGTTGAAACGGCATCCCCACTTTTGCTGTGTATAATTTAGGAATAAGTTAACTAATAATCGAAAGAAGACAAAATCGGAGAAGATAAGCTTTTTGAAGATGCCTTGTTACCTAACATAAGTAGTCACCATTCCAATCAAAACTCCTCATTTTCTCTTGTAGTTCTCATTATTTAGTTACAAGAAATAGTTTGTAGGAACTGGAAAAACGATTCAAAAGACAATAAATAATGAAAAAACAAAACTAATGAATAGAGTATTTCATACTTCTGTTCTTTTTCCCCTTGAAATCCAAACACTATGTACAATGTGAAGATTCCTCCAGCCAGTTGATAAGCCCAAATTTGGGACCAAAAAAAGGTTTAGCCATCAAACAAGAATATAAATATTTCATATATTTTCCTCCATATTCTACAACTTGCAAATGCGTGTATACACCTATAAATATATCTGTATATTCGTTTTCTTTAGTTCTCATATATTTTTTTGTATCCATAAATAAACAATATAAACCCCCTTGAACCAATAATGAAATGATCATCTCGTATTTTGTTGAAAATACCAAAGTAAAATGATAGTGATTAGAATCGACGACCAAACTTGTCCCGGCCTTAGAGCCATCGCACCATTACTGCTACCGAATATCATTGTGAAAAGTCCGTCAT